CTGAACACTCCACAAAAAAAAAAAAAAAAAAAAATCACTTTAAAATATGAGAATTTTTTTTGGTTCTCAGTTTAATTCTGAATTGCAAAATACTCTTTTCTCTAAAGAGATTACTCAAAGTTTATAGAACTATGAGCAAGAAAACTCACAACTCGTTTAAACAAGAAAAAAAACTCACAACTTATTTAAACAACACAAACTCATTTAAACAAGAAAACTCACAACTTTCTATTGATTCTTCCATGTGGTTTCTCCCTGATTTTGGATACTGAGATAATCCCCAAAGTACTAAGTGAATGTATTCTTTTGACTTTTACAAAAAAGAACCTCAAATGAATTCTCTCCATTTTATGCAGAATTACATGCAGGTCTATCACAAATGTTGAAATATAAGTGTTTTCTGGAAACCATACAAACCTTCTTTTTTGTCTTCAACAGCAATCTTCACTTTTGTATCTGTTATATCTTTGAAAGAGGCCAGAAAGAGTACTACATCTCCCTTCTCATTCTTTATGGGAACAATATCCAATAGGCACCAAAATGAAGACCCTGCAAGGACAGAGAAGGAATTTAATTCAAACAGCTGCCTTTTTGCAGAAAAAATCCCAACTATTAGAGCTGCAACTAATGTAATTCTAACAAAAAAAAAAGTCTTATTTAGAAGGTCAGTAGTCAGGAAATCGCAGATGTTCGGCTCATGTAAATCTCTTTGCATCATCGGTCAAAGCACAGTAATGCTGCTTTCTCTGGAAGCAAGACATTAATTTAAATACAAAAATTATCTACCAGGATCATTAATAGAGTTTAATAAAGCTGCTTGCTTCTTTCAAAGCAAGTTCTCTCTTGAATTCTCAAGTGTTGCTGGTGCATCCTATTTTAACGGGATACACACCATGTTAACTTGACATCTGAAGCTTCCCTGTTTACTAAGAAATATCTTTACCCTCAGACTTGATTAATCTTTGCCCTCAGATTAATCATCAGACTTGGCTCTCATCATCAGCCCTTGGCAGAAGACCTGGAATAACAGTCAGCTAACTCAAATATATTTAAACTAATCAGAGTTTAATAGACAGTAAGGTACAGTTACTCAACTCTGAGCTGTTAAGTGGAGGCAGGAATAAAACTCATTAAACACTGCATCTTATGCAAGATGAGAATTCATTATATCCACATCCTAGCTGTAAACTTAATGACAATAAAGATCTTTCCTATGAGATGTAACATCACTTAGTAACTTTTTAAAGATACACTTTAAAATATGTCAGGTCCATCTTTTCCATATAGTGTCAAATAGCTTTTCACCAGTATAGAATTATGCAGTGTAAATATAAAAGCATTTTTTTTTTAATATATATATTATAAAGGGGTGTCCATCTCGACAAGGGGTGTCCATCCCGACAAGAAGCAAGGGGGGCAGGAGTGTCCGTAAGCCCCCCTGGCTCACCAAGGGCATCCGGGATTGCATGCTTGCCAAAAAGGCGGCGTACGCCCAGTGGAAGGGGGGTGAAATCTCCAAAGAGGAGAATACCTCCTCTGCTCGGGCCTGTAGGCGAGCTGTTAGGAAGGCCAAGGCGGACAT